AACCTTACAACCGGATACCTTTCCCCTCAGTACCATCTTGTCTATGATGATTGGTTTGAAACAGTTTTACTCTTCAGAAGATCAACCACCTCTAGAGTGGACCAACATGTGCATCTTCCAACGCTTCGAGACCCTATTTGATGAGGACACTCCACCTCCCTAGCAGACGAGTGGCTTACTCCAGAGGAAAAGGCCATCAACCAGCACCGATCTCATCTTCAGAAGCTTCGACATGGGAGAAAATTATGGCAGGATGACAAGAGCAAAGATAAAAGGGATGATCTTCATTTTCAACTCCGTCTCCAGCACAGCCCAGGTTTCACACAGGGAGATTCCAGATCGTCTGCCACCACCTCAGACTCAAAATTACCCTCTTCTTGGGACAGGGAGCCTCCCACCATCAGCACTCCCACCACTGATGTCCACGAGCCAATCTCTGCCCCTCGTCGTAATCCCAGTAGAACAGCCCACAGCAAGAAGCCTGAGACTCTGAACATGGACCCAAGTTGAAGACATATGCGCGTCCTTCATCCCTGTTGAGTTGTGCTTTAGCTTTGACCTTTGGAGTTACTCCAATTTCTGGGCACATGATGCAATCTCAGGTGAATGGTTTATTCACCTTTGACCAACACCCAGGAATCATTCATCCTGGCATTCTTCAAAGCCCACTGGCTCTCAAGGCCAAAATTTCCAAAGACCCTGATCTCCCCTCTCTGAAGGAATACTCTGATGGACCACATGCAGACCATTTCTGGGCAGCAATGGACAAAGAAATTGCCAGCCTTGAAGGCAAAGGGACTTGGCACATCGTACAACGTTCTTCTATGCCCTCACACCTAAAGGCGGTTCCTGGAACATGGGTGCAACGAATTAAGAGGTTACCAGAGGACAATTAAATAAGTTCAAATCTAGATGGTGCTGCAGAGGAGACCTTCAGTCTATGAAGGCGTCGCGTACTCTCCACTTGTTGGTTGGCCCACTGTTAGAGCCGGTCTTCTTCTTGCAGCTGCACATGGATGGGAATCGAGACAAGTTGATTTTACTCTGCTTTCTGTCAAAGCCCTCAGCCTGTCGACCAGCCATCTGTACATGGAATTGCCTCAGTACTATCGACCCAAAGGTTATGAAGGAACAGGACTGTGTTTTGAAACTTGAACAAGTCCATCTATGGGCAGACCATTCCCTAAATTATTTTATGAGCATCTATGTCGCGGGATGATCCAACTTGTTTCGAAACCTCGGCAGCAGACCCATGTTTGTTTATTCATAAGGAGCATCAACTCATGGTATTAAATGATTGTGATGACCAAATCTGGCTCAGTCCAGACAATGATCTGATTGAGTCCTATGTTGGGCAGCTCCAGAAACTTGGATATGACCTCACCATGGAAGAAAAAGGTGACATCTTGGATTCCTCGGCATAATTTTGAAAGACAGGGAGACAATGTTGAGCTCACTCAAAAGGGCTCATCAATAAAGTCATCGAATATACTGGTATGTCTGACGCTAGCAAGAAGCTTTCTCCTGCCGCCACCGATCCTCTCGGAGCTGACAAACTGGGGGCCCCATTTGAAGAAGAGTGAGCTATCCAGCTGCAGTTGGGATCTGCTTTATATTGCGTCGAACACTCGCCCAGACATCACTTTTAGTGTGCACCAGGTGGCACGATTAGTCACAATCCCAGGCATTCCCATGCTCAAGCAATAAACGTATCATTCGGTATCTGATTGGCACAAGTGACAAAGGCATTTGTTTAGCCCTAAACTTGATCAGGGACTTGACTGTTGGGTCGATGCTGACTTCGCCGGATTGTTATGGATATGAGGATGATCAGGATCCTGTGTCCGTCAAGTCTCGCACTGGATTTGTCTTGACTTTGTTTGGGTGCCCTATCATCTGGTCCAGCAAGTCTACAGACTGACATTACTTGAGCTCCACTGCTGCTGAGTAGTTGCCTTCACATGTCAATGAGGGAGCTGCTTCCTATGCGAGCTTTGCTCAAGAGAATTGGTAGCAAACTGAATATGCCGGTAATTACTGACAGTCTCGTGCGCTCTACAGTGTTCGAAAACAACCAAGGTCTGCCTTGTCTCTTGTGAATGTTCCCAAAATGTCTGCGCGCAACAAAGTATTTGGCATTGAAGTACCACTTCTTCAGGTCCAATATCGGGAGTCGAAGGGCATCGTGGCCAAGTACATTCCGACTCTGGAACAACGGGCCGACATTTCACTAAGGGTCTCCAGCTCCACATGTTGCTGTCATTCGGAAGCCTCATGGGATGGTAATTTACCTCAGCACTTTGCTGGGGACTCTCTCCTATCGTTTTCTTGCTCCAGCTTCATTTCAGCTGTAAGGGAGTGCGACGGGATACAGCTTACAATTCAGCTTTACACTTTACAATTAGCAGGCTTATCTAGAAATAATCAATAACTGCTCACTCACTTATTTGGAAATACAAACTTTACATCTCTTAGATCCTTAGACTAGTCAATGCACAATGGTATTGTCGCAATATGTATAGCAATCATGCATGGACTTGCCCGTCCTATTTGCGCTGTCGCGGCTGTTGCTTGTACGGAGAGTGTATCTACTCACAACTCATCCCCACAAATTTCTGCGGAATGGTGCCCATCCAGCGTGGCCTCAATGCCAGCCGTCAAGGCGATTATGAAATCTTTGTGGTATCTGGCAATCATCTCCGACTCATGTTGGGGCAAGCTATTGACTGCTTCTGCATTCAAATCAATCGCTTCCAAGCGAGTTAATTCCTCCCGCAAGTACTGTAGTCCCTTGTCATCCGGAACCCCCACCGTCTTTCCCGCCTCCTGGGAAAAGACGGCATGAATATGCTCGGCGTCGTCTTGCACGACTTCATAATAGATTTGGTGTTCCCAAAATGGCCAGACTTGAGGGAGCTCTTCGACAAATCCAAAATCGCGAAAGATCCCCGGTGTGCCCCAGTCATCACCGATATTGTAGCAATCCGTGCAGTAGTTATAAGTAGCAAACAATTCGTCTCCGACGTGAATGGGTGCCATAGCCCATGCCCTGACTCCTTCGTCACTGCGGAGGGGCGTGTTGTCGACATTGAGTTTTCCATTGTGATGATTGACCATGTCCCACACGGGGATAAATTCGCTGTCGTAGCCGCGTTGAATGGTCAAGGCCACGGCTTGGACTTCCTCGGGCTTACTTGGAGTAATGCATTTGGTTTGAACAAACTGTTCCTCAATCCAATCCACTAACGGTGGTTGGCTGTACTGTGTGTCGCTACTAGCAGTGGCGTTGGTGATGCGACCTTGGATTTTGCGGAGTAGATTCTTAGCCGGTTCGCTGTAGGTGGCAGGTAGCATTCCCGTGGGTATCGTGTCGAGATAAGCGAGATAAGGACCGTAGTAGGACGCTTCCGGGTCGTCTCTCCATTTTCGCGTCTCCTCTAGCAACTTTTGAGCCAATCGACACGTATTGGCAAAGTACACTTGATTCGCTTGGTCCACACCTACATCTTTCCGGTAGTACAGATCCGTGTCTTCCATTTCATCGGGTTGTAACCCCAAGTAACATGATTTCGGAATTTGCAGCACCGTTTCATTCTCGGCGATATCGGCAGTAGCAAAGACGCCCATATAGGAATTTGGATTGCTCGGATCTTGACGACGAATTTTAATCTTGTCGCTGACAAATCCACCCTTGGATCGCACCCACGATATCAAAGCCGATGCATGATCTGTGTTGCTGCTACCGGTTCTCGCAGTCGAAGAAACAACGGGAGATAGTAGTGCGACCAGCGCAGCAAATACAAGAGGCGACGGCCGAAAGTTCATTGTGTAGTGTCGATCGTTGGGATGAGGGGTTTGTCGGGGAAAGAGAAGGAGCAAAAAATGGGCTGATTCTAAACCCCCTTAACAATTGCAAGTGGCCAGGTGTGGAGCATGCGGTGCGTTGCGTTCACTGGTCCGATCATTCAGGCTCTTCGCGCACCTCCCATGATTCGATTCGCAAGTTTGCTTGTTGACAAGTGGTTGTGGGAAAGGTGCGGAGCGTTTTGGGTGTTGGGTGGGGGTGGGGGTCGCTAGTTGATTCATTCCCCCGAGTGAGGGAACCACATTTCCATTCGAAAGGGTCGATTGAAGTGATTCGATTCGATTCCATTCCATTCGATGGTTGAAGAAGTCATCGGCACCAAGCATTCACGCCCCAGAAAACCAAATGCGGCCTCGTGCCGTCTTCAGGTACGAACAAAAGATCTGCTGCTTGAAGCAAGGGTCTGGATTTCCACACTCTAACATTGAACTTGGTTCTTTTTTTTGTTACAAACTGGACTGTTTAGAAAACTGCTTGATCAAGGCAAAGCCAGTTGTCCATCCTTAGATTCAAAATAAATCCTGTGCCAGTCCTTTTTGCTTGTGGTTCATGCATTCATCAAAGGCCAGAGGTCCTTTGATCCCACACTATACTGTACTATATACCGAGACTCCTGAAATATATTTAAAACTAGAACTAGTCAGGACGGTTTAGACTTTGTGTACGAGACGATTGACAGCTATAAGGACTGGCATAACCTTGGTTGTCCGAAGCAGTGGCTACGAACAACCCGCAGCTTTGCCATGCAGAAATGTTGCCCAAACAAGGTGAACCATAGCGACACTATGTGTATAAAAATTGCTCTGAACGGAGGTAGCGCCATTGCGACTTCTGTTTGTCGGCTTGTCGGTTTGTGTGTCACACTTTTTAGCTCTAACGTGTGTAACAAATTGACATTTTGATAGAATACTATTCGATTTGAATTGTAACATTGGCCAAAACCACTACTGTGCTACTTACTGTAATAACCACTGAATAAGTCTTTCTGAATGCCGGACTGGCTGGAATTATGGTGTTCTTCTGTAATTGCACATTCAGTATTGTTAAGTCCTATCAATACATTTACTCAATTTTGTGATTCTTTCTGTAAATTAAAGTAAAAATAAATCCACTGGATTAGACTAGAAAATCAAGTGAATATGTGAAATGAACGATTCATCAAGAACAGGCTAAATCGTTATGGCTTAGATTGGGAGGGATTTTATCTATTTTGTTAAACTCAAACAGAATTTACTAAACAATTACCATTTTGATAAAGTACATTGAATTTGAATTGTATTATTGACCAAAACTGCAACTGTACATTTTACTGTGAAACCAGTGTATAAGTCTTATTCCAGGAAAGAACATCAGGAATTAAAGACTTCTCCTGTAATTGCACCTTTAGTATTTTTAAGTCTTATCAAATACATTATCAATTTTGTGATTATTTATGTAAATTAGAGTATTAACAAATCTAGTGGATTGGACCATCAAAATCATGTGAATCTGTGAAATGGACGATTCATCCACATTGGGCTAAAGAATGATGGTTTAGATTTGTAAAGATTTATCTTTTTTTGCTAAAGTTATATGGAATTTACTGCAAAATTACCATTTTGATAGACTTTCATTTGATTTGAATTGTAATATTGGCTAAAACCCAATACTGTGTATTTTCCTGTACACCTCATTGTATAAGTCTTATTCCAGGAAAAAACATGAGGAATTAAAGGGTATTCCTGTAAATGCACCTACAGTATTGTTAAGTCTTCTCAATATATTTATGCAATTTTGTGATCTTTCTGTAAATTAGAGTAAAAGCAAGTCTTTTGGATTGGGTCATCAAAATCATATGAATCTGTGAAATGAACGATTCATCCAGAATGGGATACAGCTTGATGGGAGAGATTTTATCAATTTGGCTAAAGTTTTATTTAGAATTTACTGAACATTTACCATTTTGATGGAGTAACATTGGATTGGAATTGTGTTATCGGCCAACACGGCTACTGTACAATTCACTGTATGCTCCAAGGTCCTAATGCTTTCTGTTTGCCGGACTCCCCGGAAGGATGGTGTCCTTTGGGAATTTGATCTTGGATTTAACAGTTTCTCTTTTCAGGAACTGGTTGATTTACTCGGGGTACTCCTCTTTGTGGTAAGCTCGAATCGGGCGATTTACGAGGGCTTAACTGTTTTAAGTACTACAAGTATCCGGGTTGGGGTATCAACTCTCGCTGCCTCCTATTTGCCTTTTATTTGCTACTATCATACTAGTAGTGGCCGGCTAACTATGAATAGCAGTGGGGTACGACGGTACGACTGTACCGTAGCTCTGGCTAGCTTGGCAGCGTCCCAAAGCGGTCCTAGCTTGTATCCGACCCAGCCATTCTGTTTCTTCAAGAGAATTGTAACGCAAGTTTAGTTTTCACAGCTTCTACTAGCTAGTTCCGCACTGCAATTACGCATTGATTGGAACCAGAAACGACACGACTTCCCCAAAGATATCGTCTGGTGCCTCTGCAATCAACCTTTCTAGTAGTACTCGTTGTTGTTGATGATCCCGAGAAGATGATGATAGACTCAAAGCCTGCCCTTGTTGCTCTCTTCTCTTGGCATGCGCCCTTTTCCTTTGATTCCACAACCACCAGGTTGACGTTTTCGTTCGCCAACCTGCAGTGCTGTTGTTTTGTGACTCATTATTATTGTCTGCTCGCCCCTGTTGCACCAACGCCCGTGTGGTGATGAGTGGCCCGGCAATCTCCCAGTTGCGAGACTCTGTGACAAAGGAAATGCGCGACAGTTGATGGGCTTTTCGCATCCCCGCCACGGCGACGATTCGGTGATGAAAGTCATTATTGTTGTTGTTGTACACCTTGTTGCTGTTGTTGTGCCAGTCGATTTCTTCTTGTTCCGAAGACCCGAGAAAAACGGTTCGTTGGTTGGTAACGACCGTCAAGACTCCCTTTTGCTGTCGGACCTGTAGATTGATGGCAAACTCTGACGGGACAAGCGTCAACAACGCCAGTTGGACCGTGGGGTCGCGGTTCCATAACTTCGTCTGCTGATCATGGTCAATGGATTGGCTCTCAACTTTGGCACCATTGGCAAACGTGGACTGGTACACTCCAAAGACTCCCACAATGGAATGTTTGTGCCTGTAGTAGCATTGGACCTGCTTGAGTTCTACCTTGACCGGGTGTTGTTCCTGATGTTGTTGACCACGCAGACTTTGATAAAAGCCCAGATCACTAAAAGAGGAGCCAAGGGCACGGCCACGTTGCAAGATTTCATGAGCGTCCACCAGCGGAGTGTCCTTGGACAATCGATGCTGGCTACTCCGATCATGCATTGTGAAGGATGGGATTTTTGTTGGGGACTTGTTCTCCTCATCTTCAGTCGCCTGAGTCGGTTGGGTGTAGAATACAACCTCCGATGCCACATTGCTTCTCCCGTGAAGCGTGGATCTCGCCGCCAATGCGATCACTTTCTTCCTATCCCCCTCTGCAAGAGTTGTTGTCCCTTCTGGAGTTGAATCCTTCTTGGGTGTTTGCTCTCCCAAGGTCACCACACGCCCTCGTTGTGTAGTCAATGTGATTCCCTTGACAACCCGGACGTGTTCATCAGTAGTGCTGCGAATCAGGTTCCCATAGTGAACGCGTACATCGACCACGTACTCTCCCAGTTCGAGTTCCAGGGTGGTGCATTGGACACCCGCCTTGGGGGCATTGCAGTCACTCGCCACTTGCACGAGTTTCCCATTGTCGTATCCCACGGTATGGACCGTCTGCAAGCCCACCACAACGGATCGCTTGTTGGAGAAGAAGCAATGAACTCTGATTAGGTCTATTGAAACAGCCTTCGTTTCTACTAGTAGGGGCTGGTTGTAGAGTGCCAAATGACGAGAAATCTCCTCTGGCGGCGGCAAGGACTCATCGTCATTGTTGCCGTCAGAGGCAGCAGCTGGTGACGTTGTTAAGAACTCTCCGGACGAACCATCGACTGTACCCAAGCAATTACTACCCAAGTGGAGATTGATGCCTCCCATCGTCGTCAAGTGGATCTGATTAGCAGGGGTATCCTTCTGATAAGCAGTGGTATTCTTCTGGTGCTTTCTGGACCGGAACAAGAACTTCATGGTCATGCGGTATTGTGAGGAGCGGAGGTTTGTTGGTGTGAGAAGCGAACTGTATGTTGTTAATGCGGCTTTCACCCACCCCTCATCACCACTTCGACAACTGAACCGAGTATCGAAGAGGCCACAAAACAAATGTTACTTCAAAAAAAGTGTGTCCGATAACTTGCAAGAGTGCTTTTGAAGACTGGGCTTGACCGGCTCATTCAAGAAGACTTACAGTAGTTGGTTGATTGCCAAGAGTCAAGAGTCAGTCACACGTTCCATGGAGCTTACCCCGCCACTGGAGCATTTTCTGGAATTATTGAATTCAAGGCAGTTTGCAGGAGAAGTAAGTGGTTACATAAAGCAAAGATCAAAAGATCTACAAGACAACTGCCACTAGCAACCACTGGTTCTTTACTGGAGCATTGCCGTTTGTTGTCTTCAATGTAAAAATAAGTAATTTTGTGAGCTTTAGAAAGATCAATGTCCTTGAAAAATATCACTAAATAAATGCGAAGCGCTATACTAAGTAACAGCAACGAACCAGCCACGTGGCTTGTGGGAGGGCGCAAAAGCTTTTGGTGGCAAAACCGGTACCTGGTACCAGTAAGGGTGCAGTAGAGCTACAGTACTGTGGACTGTCTGTGGAGTACCGGTACCGAACCGTGAGGCCGCCAAAAACCTTCTCGCCACCGACAGTATCGGTATGTGGCTAGCTAGTAGTACATCGTACCGGTACACCTTCCGGCACCACCGGCCTATCGATACTGGTACGGTACGGTGCAGTGCCAGAGTTGACTGTCGGCTATCTTCCATCCTCTCGAATACAAAAGGCAGAGTGCAAAGGGCCAAAAGAGGTCCTGCTGCAGTCCCAGCATAGCAAACTGGTATCACCATTACCAGCAACGCGTTGTCTCCGTCTCTCGGGAGTCGAGTCCATCCCACCAAGGGAGCCTGCAGCTGCTCTTCTCGTCTTGACACAGCTTGCTTCTTCTGGGGACCAACAATGGGGCTTGAAGAAATGTCAACAATCAGGTGGCTTCCAAGCCCATCCATGGGACAGATGGGAGCACCAGGCGCCGGCTCCTCGGCGATTGAATCATTCAATTGAACTAGCAAAAAGATGGCTAGTGTGCTTCCGAGTCTACACAGTGTAGTCGCTCCTTAATTCGATTGTGGCCACGAACCAGCAGCTACCTGGTACCAGTAGCTAGTACGGTACCGCATTGAGAAGAGATACACCTTTGCAGCAAAACTGGCTGCACCGTTGGGTTCGCCAAATGATGCCAGTGTCTGCGCCTTCAGAGGTACTACCGGTACGTATCGTACCGATACGCACCTCCACCCTCCACCGATTCCGCGTACGGGCATTGTACTGGTCGCTCGATCCTTCTACTCTCCATCCAAAAGTTCCGTTCCTGCTGTGCTCTGCCTATCGGTAGGAACCACTGCTCGAATCGAATCGGTACCCGTAGCGATTAGAGAGATTCTCGTTCTTGCCTCATATGACTTTGTTCAACTCTTGGAAATGCCCGCTGGCTGCTGACGATGTATGTATTGATCGTGCTTTGCTGGCTTCGCAGCCATCAACCTGCGTTGTGTTGCCCAGGTTGCACGACATTTGCTTTGATCAACGGGGTGTGCATGGACGCGGTGAATCGTCGGCTGACCGGTGGATATCGAGGCAACCCAGGCATTCTTAGTGGCCTTCCTCAGCGATACTCAGATCATGGTTCCTTGACTCTCCAGGTAGTAGAACAGTGCGCTCTCTGATCCTTAAAGGCTTCGAATTGTTTGTGGCTCTGGCGGCAAGACATAGACCTCGTCATGGTACTTCCGTTCAATCCCGTTGCGGCGGGAGCTTCGCTATGCGCTAGACTCCATCATTACGAAGGACACCGTACACCTGGAGCTACATTAGGGCGCCCTCAGTCTCATAGGAGCGCCCTCTACAGGATAATGCACACGCAAAAAGATTCAAGCACAGTTTCTTGACGCCTCAACAGTACCCGGTACAGGCATCTGTTGGTGACCTAGTTCTTTGCCAGGGCAGGATCTGCCACTGAGTTGAGACTGTCTCAATCGACCAAGCACAACGTAGGTTTCTCCAACAAAAAGACAGGTATACCGGCAATGAGATCCTACGAAGTTTTGTTTGAAGGCGAGGATCCGCATGCACTGACTTATTTTATCCAGTGACTGGTACCGGTAGCGCGCACCACCTTGGAGGACTTCATGTTGCTCCCGTGTGAGGAGGTGAATTGAAGCCATCATGCGGGCTTTCTGGAAATGAGGACACACCCCAACACTGAAAAGCCCCTGCTTTTTGAACCGACGTCTCAATTCTAGGCTTGCAAGGATGATGCAAGAACTGTCTTGCATGGTTGCCAAGATGGACAGCCAAGCTAGCAAGACATTGGTACCTTCTGTTAGGTATCGATTTAGGCTCTTTCATAACGTTTCGAAATGGTACATTGGATACTCTCCATTGGTATTGGGTGTTCTTCCTGCGTTTTCAAGAATGAACTTTCGCCAGTAACCAAGAAATAGTTTGTGGTGTCCGGAGTTGTATTTTGGCGGATTGTGGATATAGTTCATTGCACTGCTGCTGCTGGTGAAATTGCGGAGTGCCTCTTGAATGCTTTCCCGATTGGTAAGGTCGGGAACGGAGACAACCGGTAACCCCAGTTGTTTCCAGAGGGGATCAAAATTGGCATTTGTGGGGACAATGGGTACAATGCCCAAATACAGGTACTCCCATGTTCGATAGCTGTGCAAGAGGAAATGAAAATGTCGTGTTGAGAAAAGATGGCACTTTCGCTCCGTCTTTTGGTTGACAAACAAACAAACTTACCAATCCCAACCTTGTCCTCGCGGACTAACGGCAAATTGGACGGTGGTTGGATCCAGCAACGAAAAGTATTGCGCGTTGGAAGTAACATTTTCAACAGGGACACAAAGTGTCTCGTAGTGGTTGCCGCTGTCTGTGAGGTTGCTATTTTGGTCGCAAAATGCGTTGTAGACATCTCGACGGTATTGGCCATGCCGTTTGCCCTGCTCGTAGGTATTAAAGTTGACCAGAATGGTCCAACTACGAATATTGCTTCCAGGACGGTGCTGCAAAGAAGAAGAAGAAGTGAAAGGATCTTGATGATTCCATGCTTGCAGGATTAAATCCACATAGGCCGGCTGCCAATCCCATTGACTCAGTCCAATGGGCATTGGGTGGAATTTTGGGTGCGTGGTTTCTGGATTTTGGCCAAACCAGTGCAAGAGATTGGCACCGTTGGCACCTGTGGTGTTTTCGTCCAACAACCGTGTCCAGGAAGATGGTGGACTTCTGTCACCATCACCCGAAACCAGAATGTAGTCGACGGGGAGTTTATCGTGCCATCCTTGATCGAAAAAGCGCCCGACAAAGTTGTTGTCCACTTGAAGGATTAGAGTTTCATTGAGGTCGGCTAGACAGGGGAGCAGTTTGTCGCTGAGCTTGCTTGTCAACGTTGGATAATGAGGAGGGACGGGTAGGTTTCCCCATCGTACTTCGGCAATTTCTTTGCAGGAACTGGTCTTTAAGAGTGTTGTGTTTTCCAACGATGGATTGTAGTAGTAGGTATAGCGACAGCATGTCTCGGTACACGTTTTTTCGTGTTGTGAGGTAGACGAGGCGCTTTCTCCTATTGCACTTTTGACGGCCCGTTGATGCGGCAAGGAAGAGTGCAATACGAGTGATTTCAGTGTATTATTGGTTTCGTCAAACCCTGCAGGAAATTTCGAAAGCACCTCTTTCACACTAAGGATGGGTGGAGGCAACGGTGTGGTGGTGGGAGTCGAGGAAGGTGACGAGGATGGTGATGGAGTGAGGATGATGCGAGAAGAGACAGGGCTTTCTATTTGCATCGACGGAGAAGCCAAGGCAATCTTGCTTGTGGTTGCGGCCTCTTGGGCTACCAGCATTTGAAGGTATTCTGTAAGGTAAGAGCCAAAACCCCCACCGCTGAAGGTGCATCCTACCAATACCATGGAAGTGGCCACGAAGAACACCACCAAAGACGGGCGGCGTCGCCCGTGGGAGTTGGAGTTTCGCAGTTCCACCATTTTTAGTTGGTTTGGTTAGTGTTGTGAAGCAAGCTTTTGAAATCATAATGTACTACGGTAATCTACCAACTCTAAACCCCCGTTGTACTCGGTACGTTCCAGAATATCCTTCTCCTCTACGGTACCTGCTCCTCCCCAAGAATGATTTTCCAATTTTCGGCCATATAAGATAGAAAATGCCACACGCAAGACTCTTTGATGTGGGAGTGCAGGAGTGAGAATGATATCCAATCACACATCCATTCCTCCGAGTGAGGCGACCACGTTTGCAACGGTACCTCCACGGCAAGCATAAGTCACATGTTGCAGTAATTTGTCGCCAAGACATAATCTTTTATGTCATGAACTCACGAGAAGCGATGATGCTGGCCCAATCGCGGAACGAGCAGCTGTCAATTCTGTCTGCCTCTAGGTCTCAAACTTCGAACGCGCTAAAAAGACCCATGCACAATCCCAGCAGTCTCTTTGCCATTGACTTCCATGATAGCCACTGAGGAAGAATCCCTTGTCGCTTGCTTCCAACAGCACCGCCGCCACTTGTAGCGACGAAGAGCATACAGCAGCGCAAACTCTCTGCCGTTCCATTTTCCACTCTCCATCCAACTCCAGTATAGCCTGTGAAAGATATCGTATCCGGTACGGTAGTACGGTATTAGTGAAGAATGGTCTCCTTTGTATCCACGTACCTGCTCACCTGGAAGGTGTACCTGTCATCTTGGAGGGCCGATTGGAAGGCCCAGCAAAAAGCCATTGCCCAATTGGGATCCCATTTCCAGAATGGAATCCCTCTGGTCTCGAACCTCCTGTGGAACGTGATCATGTTTACAGTACTACAAGTTCTTGTGATCCGCATGGCAGGATTTTCTGCGGAAATGGAACGGTTCTGTTGGTACGCGGTACTGCTACCCTGTCTTGTCGGCAGTGTATTCTACTATTGCTACAAGTATGGCGTCAAACAGGTTGTCACGTCACTGTTTTCCTTCACCACCTTTCTCCAATGGACGCAGAATTGGCTAGCAATGCAAGGACTGGCGTTGGTGTGTCTCACTCAAACGGCATTCTTCTACTTTGCCGGCATTGTCATGCAGCCGTACATACTTCCACCCGCCTGGAACGTGTCTGTGCAGTTTCCAAAGGACCTCTACGAAGAGTATCTTCGGGATACCGTCTACTGCTTTGCAGCTTTGTTTGGGGTGTGTCTGGTCACACTACCCTTGTCCGCCCGTGGATACGCGGTTGCCATGGAAGCAGCCGGTCGTCAAAACGTGACAATCTCGTACACTGAAACCTTGATGGAACTCGTGTACCAAACGGTGCAAGGAGATTCTCTCTTTTTCACTGTGATTCCCATCCTTGTCATACTCCAAGACTACTTTGGGTTCCGTGTTTACACAATCCATATCATCTTTGCCGTGGTGGAAACGGCATTGGTGAACTACGTGGTCCGCTACAAGTTTGGCATTACCCATCAACTAATGCATGAAATTCAACCCCTCTACGCCATGGCACACATGGAACATCATGTCTGCAAAGGTGTTCATCCCACTACACTTGCCGCTGGATTGTGGGAATTCTGGGTCAATGGTCAAAGCATTTTCATGACCACACAAGTCGGCCTTGCACCCATCCCCTACGCGTTGCTCCAGTTCATTTACATGGGAGCCAACGTGGTTGTTCATACCATGTGGCCGCATCCCTCGCTCCTGCAGTGGCACACTCTGCACCATACCATTGCGGCCGATGTGTACAATGTCAACATTCCCAGTACGTACGACAAGGAGCACTCGCAAGCGGTCGCCAAGCTCCAACAGAAGCTGCAACACGTATCTCCGTTTATCCGATACGAGCCTCTCTCGGATCTTGCAGCCGTGGCTGTCATGGGACTGAGTTGTGCCATTCTGCACGTTGGACTGGGAATTGGACTGGGTCATGTGGATTGGACAGAACGGATGGATTGGCAGTAAGTACCACAGCCAAGGATTACGAGTTTAATAAAGGAAGTGGGTGAGACACGTAGAAAGTGTACCAGCCCTACAGCCCAAAAATGGACCAAAACCGTCTATAAGCAAATGACTGTCTCAATGTCCGATTGACCCCTAAGTAGATTAATACGAAATCGACCTCAAGTACCATTGACTCATAGCATGTTACCCATACTGACCACATGATTTAACATCACCTACCCTATGTTAAACGTGTATTTCATTTTTGTTATACTTTTTGTGAGATAGTTAAATAATTTGGTCCATTATTGAGTCCCGTTAACTCAGAAAATAGAGAGTGAGACAGAAGGTTTCCGATATTGTACTGTTTTTGCTATAGTATCGCTGATGTCTCAAAGCGATGGACCAAAACCGACTTTATACCTGTATTTTCGCAGCTGTGAACAAACATGACAATCTGAGCTACAATAAACAAGCGATCGATCTATCCTACTATTGATCAAGATGCACGAGGACTGATTTACTTGGGCATACAGGAAAATGGGTACCGACTGGGGAATGACCAAACAAGCAAACACTAGCTAGGAAATATCAAGGAGGGATGAACCCAATGGGACGATCCAGTCTCTTCTGTGTTGTCCGCTCGAAGAAGATGTGCCACATGCGTTCCATGGCACAACAGCCAGAAATCCCGGGCACCTGGATAGCCACCACCAATGAGATTGGCATGCCAGAGCAATTGCAGCATGCCATAGTCCGTTGTTTGTGGATAGATGCATTTGTAACTGTTCTTTGCGAACGGCAAAATGGGCACTGGGCCGGAATGTCAATGGCTTGTGTGGCTGGCTGGCTTGGGGACCAGCAGGGCAGAGTTCTCACTGGTAGTATCAGCGAGACGCCAGAATTGAATTTTGGGGAATGGCCATAGAACCTTCATGGCTGGCTTGTCCATGGGTTGGAATCTCGACCCCACCATTCTGCTGCAAGTTCTGCCTGTGATTCCAAAATAAAATAAGTGAAGCATAAAATCGGGTGTTCCGTGGTAACAAACTGTTTGGTGGCATTGGGAATGGGCTCAAATTTTTAAATGTTGTGTCAAAGTGTGTGCGTACTAGCTAGCTAGTATGAGCATGGTGGCATTCATGCCTCCAAAACTGGGTTGCTTGCTTGGGTTCGTTTCTTTTTCTTTTTCTTTTTGGTCGCTGTCGGAAGCTCCAATTTCAAAAGGCAATAAGGGCCACGGCGGTGGAGAACTGTTGCATTTCCTTTAGAAGTTGCTAGTTAGTTCATGCGTTCATGCGTTCATGCATGCAGCGCGAAGTCGTTTGGCCATTTGGCACTGGTTGCCACTACAATGTCATGTACAAGAATACTAGTAGTCTACAAGGTCATGTACAAAGCACCAGCCTCCGTTTCGGGTTTCACAACCTCAGCTCAACCTCCCACCTCGCCCACCTCCCAACGAAAGGCACGCACGTCGTACCGGTACGACTGTACCGGTATGTGCTAGCTAGTACGGGTACTATGTACTATTAATAGCTACGGTAGTATACCGGTACCGTCCGGACGTAAGGTGGAGGGGCGGAGCCTGATGGGGGATTTAATGCGTCAGTAATAACTTTGTTGATCAAGGATTCTTGGAACATCATAGGCAGAAATGGCCACTCGATGGGTGGTGAATTGCTGCAGAAGTAGCTGGTGAAGTTCTGAAGTTCTGTTGACAGTTGACAGGAACTAACTGTTGGTTCGACATTGTGGGACAGTAATTTTATTGAAATATTAGATTTAGAGATCAGAAAGTCATCTTCTTATACTCGCAAGAGCATCGTGAGAATGACTATGAAAGGGCTTAGGGCAAATAGAGCGCTTTGTGACTTTATGGGTGTTGCAAAGCAAAAAACTCGAGAACTCTGGGGAGCCAAGAGGCCTCAAGGTCCACTAGCTAGTAGGCCTACTACTAGTACTGGTACACGGCCACAGGCCACAGGGAACTGTGAAAGTTGTTGCTCTGCTAAAATGCCTCACCAGTCACCTCATGAAGCGTCGTTCAAGCATCTCAAGCATCCAAAAGCACCACACACCAAACCAAGCTAGCTATCTAGTACCATAGGTATTAGAACATTGGCATCCAAAGCTCGTTTGTGATTGCTCGCCCTCCAACTTCCAAAACAATCAAAAAGAGTTGAACAGAACCAACCATGTCGAAAGCTAATATACCCATTGCAGCCGGACAGTGTCCTACCGGTACAATCGAATATCACAAGAGCCTCGAGGAGGAAAAATCAGAGAAGAAGGAACCCAAGCAGCAAGGTCTCGGAGTTTCAAAGAAATCTGTATTAGTTGCCAAGAATAGCAGTACTCAAGACCAAACACACGATGTTGTCCCGGATGAACCCTCAATAGTCAGCCAAATTCAACCGTTGCCGTTGTTGACGTACAATGCAAACATCAGTAACATGAGCAGATTTCCGGGGGCATATTCCGTTGTAGGTATCGGCGCCACAGCCGAGACTATGGATGAATCTCAAAATTATAATAATATTGAGACAGGCAACCCTTGCATCAGCAATGAGACTGAGGCAGTAATTGACGGCGCCGTTGTTGTGGACGATGAGGAAATCAATCAAGATCGATTGGAAAATGGGACACTCCATGCCCCAGATGATGAAGTCATCGAAGGAAGAGTCATGCCAAGCAATCACAGGACCAAAAGTAGACTACCGTTGTTGTGCTTGGCATTTGTGGCAATAGCTGGTTTGGGGGTCTTTCTTGCTGTTTACCTACCTTTCACTGCTAAAGGTGATGCGTCCAAGGCTACATTTCCAACTTCTGAGTCTATTAATGACCATGCATCCATGGTCATCCATCCACCCTTTCAAGATGATCTGTCTCTTCAAACTCTCAAGGCATTTCAGAATACAACGACACCTGAATACAAAGCCAATGTCTGGATGTGGAATGACCCAAACCTAAACAGCTACACCCCTGAACGACAGCTGCAACGATACGACTTGGCATGGTGGTACTACATCAGCAATGGTGACAACTGGTACAGAAATGATCACTGGCTCAGCTATGATGTCAATGAATGTGACTGGTTCACTCAGGCTCACAATGAAACCATCCTGCACTATGACAATTATCCTGTCTGTGATGAGAACAACACCCTACTGATCCTGAACCTCAACTCAAACAATCTCCAGGGGACACTGCCGGTAGTCAACAGATTCCTCTCAAGGATGAAGACATTTGATATTGGAGACAACAATAATATGCACGGAGCAGTCCCAACTGGCCCTGCAGGAAATAATGAAGTATTGGAGGTCTTTATTGTATCCAACAACAACTTTGAAGGACAAATAATCTCTGGGAATGGCTTCAAACCATTTGGGTTGCGAGTGATCAAGATTGATAGCAACACTCTGCATGGTTACCATGCACCTCTCTACCATGTTCTAACAAAGTTGGAAGTCATCAATATAGGGGGGAATCTGTTTCGTGGTGCACAGACAGAGGCCATTGGCAACTGCAAGCCCCTCCGTGAATATGTCGTATCAGGCAATGTGTTCAGTGGAGCAATCCCCACAAGACTAGGAGAGCTCGCTGCTTTGAACACTATTGATGTTCATGACAATGCAGACTTGACTGGCCAAATACCCTCCGAGTTGGGTGAGCTGTCCAGCTTGTCCTTTTTGGATGTTACTGGCACAAATATATCTGGTCCGGTACCCGAAAAGCTCTGCGACAGAGCGCAACAGGGTTTGATGGAGATCCGGGCCAACTGCAGTTTGGTGGACTGTTGTTTCTAACGTGTAGGTACAGCAAACAAATGCTAGCTATTTTGTACTGTGCTTGGTTGTCGCCGAGCTCTAGTAGCAAAGTGCAATGATAGTTTGTGCGTGACAGCACAGCATGGAAAGCTTATGTGAGAGCGACAAACGACGTACGACGTACACTGAGACGATGCAACTGCACTAACACGCACTGCTACTTTTTGAAGCAGCAAGTCTCTCGCAAGCTAGCCATCTTAAACACGAGACCATCAAGCAAGCAACAATCAATCAACATGTAGAAGTTATTATTCTTGGGGTATCTCTCTAACGTCCAACAATGGAGGCTCTACTGGTTTCTTTTCTTCTAGCCAAGTACCAAGAGCGCTGCCTCTGCAACAACTGTCGAACCAGTCAGCCCATTGGGCAAGGTCTCTTGCTACCGTAGTTAGGCTCTTGTTTCATTGAAGTTACCATCAATCTCTGCGTGTGCCATAATGTCAGCCTCCACCATAATGTCATGAATGACTTCCTGTTCCACAAGCTTGGTGCCATCCGTTCCTACCAAGGCCACAATCTCTGCCACGATGTGCTTGAGGGAGCGCTTTGCCTCTTTGTATGCCTTTTCACGTACCCGAAGTTCCTCCAGTAGCTCGGGTTCCTTTCCTTCGAGAAAGGTGACGACTTGCATTTCAATCTCTTCTGCCTTTTTTCCGACCCCATGTCCGACCGCATGATGAGCATAAGATTCAAAGCCGTGAGCGACCAATCCATCGTTGTTTCGTGCTTCTTCGGTGGGTACTTCTTCTGTACTTGTGGTGTTTGACGAGGTGTCGGTGGAATTACCATCGAGCTTGTGCTCCTTGTCATGACCATGCTTGTGTCCTTTTCCACGACCACTGCCCTCGCCACCAGACGATTCCTCTTCTTCTTCCTCCTCTATTTCTTCCTCTTCTACTGCCTCGGCTATTTCCATTTCCTCTTCAATTGCTTCCATGACCGCTCCAGGGCCTTTCTTTGCAGCTTTTACAATTGGGGGGGCCTTGGCTTTGAACCTGTGTTTTGGAAACTTGCCAAGGTGACCTCGACGTTCCGCTTCGTCTTCGTCTTCACCTTCATCGTTCTTGTGTCGATGACGATGACGGTGGCGATGATGCTCCAGCATTCGTTGTTGTTGCTCTTCTAGCTCTCGTTCCAAATCTCCGTTTTCCACAACTGTGGCATCCAAGCCTTCATCTTCAATCAGAAACGACTTTGCATGGCCTCCCAGTCGAGCCGTGGCACTGGCAGCAAGAAGCACTACAAGAGCCAGGCTTAGCTTCCAGGCCTTCATCATCTTGGTCTCACCCTCTGCCTAGTTTTGTTTCTCTACTGTTCTGATGCCAGAACAACGTTGTTGTTGAAGTGCTGGATGAACAGAACAGCCGGCCCCTCAAACAAGAATGTCCCACCAAAGATTTTGTGGGTGATATCCAATCCAAACCAAAGCTACCAACAATGACTGTCAAAAGCTACCTCATGATAGCAGCATTGTTAGCCCAGAGGATCTTGTGGGATAGCTGGATGGCGCCGCTAGAGCCAGACTACTCTAGTGTTTCCTCTACTGGCTCAAATCGTTACATCACAACAGAATATTGTTAGGAAACAACAAGAATCATTTATGTACCACTTACCGTAAAAAGTGAACGCATTTTTTGAATTCGAGAAGTGTCCGTTGTAGTTTCCTAACAACAATCATTATTTTAGTACCAGCTACAGTAGGATTCCTACCTGGCTTCTCAATTTTTCGAATTCAAACCATAGAACAAACTCAACAACGGCCATCGCCAACATCGACAACAAGATGAAGTCAACAAAGTCAACAAAGCAAGGTGAGGCATCAACTACTGCAGCTCCGCCACTTCCTGCTTGTCGGGGTGAGCATCGAGGATGTGGGCTCCCATACAAGCCTGACCAGACTTGCTGCAGATCCAAAACTGCTTTCCAGAACTGTCTGGTTGCCATTTCTGACACTCTCTGCACACCCAAGTAGTGTAGCTGTCGCAGATGATGCACCGGCCTTGTGACCTATGGTTGGGCCTCTTCTTCTTGTAGCGCTTGGTTGGTGTTGGAGAAACATATTGCTTTTCGGCAGCAATGGAAAAGGGATCTTCGCCGCGAGGAACATCATTGCCACCACCAAACCTGTCAGCTGCTTTGGCTGCAGCCCTTGCAGTTCTCTTCCTCAGAGCACGGAGCTCATAAGTGTTATCGATCAACTCTTCTGCAAGATGGGCAAAGTACTCACCGGAATTGTCGTACCGGCTTGTTCCTTGGCATCCTCTTTGAAGAAGATAGGAGTCAACAGCACACATGCCAAAAAGCGACATGTTGACTCTTCGGTGCCACAGAGTGGTACGTAGCTTCCGCTCCAGCATAAGTCCTGCTTGTCGAAACCGGTTGTGTTGGTCAATACGTCCACAGGCCTTGTAGTAAATTTCACAGGCTTCAGGCTGTGCAACAGTGACTTCCACCATTGTCGCTGGAGCATTCGGTGTCTTGTCCACTTGCCTCCATCGCTTCCGAATACAAGGATGACCGGCAGCCAATGACGAACAGGTAGAGACAAAGTACCGACGATCGCGATCTACCCAAACATAAGCGAGATAAGAGGCATCGCCTTCTTTCGACAGAACACCGTGTCGGTCTCCCTTTCCACCATTGAGCTGCTTGGTGCCAAGATAGCCCATGGGGAATTCCTTGGTAGCAGTCTTGATTGTTCCAATGAAGCGAAGACCAATAGCAAACAGCCTTTTGGCTGCTTGGACGGATGCAAAGTAAGAGTCAGCCACCACAATCCTGCTGCTGTTAGCCCATGGTTTGACCAAGTCATACAGGACGTTGCACCCGTGCAGGAACCTGTGCGGGATTGCAATGTTCCGGTGTGAGATATAGAATATAGAATAATAAAGAATAAGCAACAATGACAACTTCAACGTTCTTCCCATGAAAACCTGACTTACCCGTTTGAGTCTTCTTCAGCACCGGTGACTTCCATCTGTTCTCGTTCCTTCTCAGAAGCCGCGATGGCTGCAGCTGACTTCACCAACTTGAGCTGTAGCATAATGCCTGACTGTCCACAAGCAGAGTTCTGAATCTCGCATCCATCATCAGGCTTCCGGTCAATGGCCACGTATTGTGGCAGTCCCATGTTGATCCAATGTCCACCCAATCCGTACCACCTGCTTATGGACTCATCAACAACAATAAGCTCCGATGGCGTCATGTACTTCTTTCGATGTTCGTTGAAGCGATCAACAAAATCTTGACATTTCGCCCAACGATGTTCTTCGCTCGACACGTCGGCTGGTCGGATGTCAGGCTGGAAACTCCACTGGATGTGGCGAAGAAGAGTATCGAACCGGTCTCTTGACATTCCAGTTCGCCTGCCAATGGCAGGAGGAGGAACATACTTATTGCCGGTGACCTTCGCCCAAAGACTTGCACGGTCACCGAATTCGAATCGAGTAATCAGAATACAAATGCCCATCCACTTGAGGATCTCGCCAATGGATGTAGCCGCCTGTCCTGCCTGTCGAAGTCTTGCATTGGTACTCTCCACCATTGACTTCAGTTGGTCTTTTGGGAAACAGGCCATGAAGAAGTCAAACGGCGTGTACTGCTTCTCAGCGTGGTCATCACAGCCAGGAGTGTACTGCCGACCAGAGTACTGATCAGTCATTCCCCAAAACTTGACTGGAACTGGACCATTCACATCCACATCAGTCACTCCTTCAAACCACTCGCGACCATGGTTGACACTGACTGGCTTTGGAGCAGTCGTGCTGTTGCTGGATGGACTTCTGGATGAATCCGGTGAAGATAATGGATTCTCATCCCCGCTGCTGGATTCGGCGTTGTTGGTGGTGGATGCTTCTGCGGCGGTGCCGCCATTGTTCCCTGTGGAAGCTGCCGTAGCAGTAAGCGGTGGTGGTAGTGGAGCGGTGGTGTCATTGTTGGTGTTCGAAACTTCCACGGTGGCCTCAGGATTCTTGTCTTTCAATGTCTGAAGCGGCAGCTTCTTGATCTTGCGCTCCTCCCCAACAATATACTCTGCTGTGATGAATGTGGTGGCTCTCTTCCCTCCTTCCTTGGTCTCCTTCGAGATAGACAATACCTTGCCCTTCAACCAAGTCTTGGTGATGAGAGATCCATAGATTCTTTTTGCATCTCGCGACACAGCAGCAGCATGAGCCCAGCAATGCCCGCCTACTACTCTACGAGGATCCGTCTCTGGCATCTTGGCAACAACAGTGGAAGGAACCAGGGGAGATAGTGCGTCGACAGCTGATGAAAAGCACCATCTTGATAGCTTTCTTTGGTATCGAAATCGAAAGGAAGAAACAATGAAGAATTTGGCCGCACGATTGCAACCTCCGATCTGGCCAAATCTGTATGTAAATATACGTTCATGAAGCCAATCAAACCCGGCCAGGATCACACATGACGTTAACTATACTATCGAGATTAGATCGCAACGGTTGGAATGAGTGGTCCGAATGGCAGCAGGCGCTATATGATATACATATCTGGTGATGTTATGTAACAACAATGTCGTTATGTAACAACGTTAGGGGAGTAAACACTAGATTTGTGAGCTCCGTGAACCCCTTTAGGGCTAAGGCTTTACATATTCACCAGACGTGGATAGAACCGGTACCGGTACTATACTACCGGTATTATACCGTAGGATGTTTCACTGGAGCCATCCTCATAACTGACCTCTTGCCTTATTTCTCTGCCAAGCGCTCCGGAAAGTCAAAAGCGCTCAGTTACATGTACCTGCTCCCTCCCCGCTTCTCCCATTTTACGCTCGTCTCCATGCCGAGTATAACCAAGACCGTTCCGACGACGGTACCAGTAAGTGCGGCTTCATCGCTTTGAAGCGCGAAGACAAGCCAACGAACCGCAAAACCATGCAGCAGAAGAGACTGTCAAAAGGACCAGGCTCTCTAGGTTTATCTACCGCTCAGATTCCGTATGGGTTTCGTCGGATGCATCCCCAGAGCCTGAGAGCATTGCCCCAAAAGCCTTTCCTCCGAGATATCTATTATTTGTCAGGCACCATTCTCCACATACATATGCAATACGAGTATCCCAATGCCACAAAGTATCGAGCCAATCCTGCCGATTCGTCAATCTGCAAGATGTCTGCCTCAGGGGTACGGTGTCGAGCTTGATAGGCCACACCTACGACACCTGTTTGTGTGGTCCGAACGGTGGAAATTGAGTCGTTTGCCCAATGAGATCAAGATGCAGAGCACGATAAAGAACTAATGCTCGTCCCCGTGTGATCTGGTTGGAAGAGAAAGGGTGCGTGATCTCTACCGTACATGTACCGGTACGACAAGGCGACAGCCAACGCGGTACGATACGGTACGATACGGTACGGTACGGTACCGGTACGGTACCGGTATACGGTAGGGTTCACTCCGCCGCCAATGAAACTCTACCGCTAGAATCAGCACTTCTACCACCGGTATGGGCACCTCTGCTTTGCGCACTCATACCTTGACTTGTGTCGACTTTTCCCTAGAGTTTCGCATACCGGTATTTACCGGTATCATAGCTGATTGTAACCTCGTCGATGGCCCCATGTACCGGTACCAGTATTACCCAACAACGTCGATGCGATAACGGCGCTTGTTTCTCTAGAGGCTGGTACAACACGTGATCTGCCATACGGTATGATTGAAAGCATATGATAATATTCATTCATTGTGCTTTTGTGGGTTCTTTGGGTGTTTTGCGTAATACTGTTGTCGCGTCACTCGATGTACGAGGCACTCGTCCGGTCCAAAACTACGTTTTCCGAGTGGTTGAAATCCCACGGATTGATAGAATTTGTGCGCCGATGGATTGCCGACCATGGGATCGACAATAGCTGCTTGAACGGTGGTATCCCCAAAGACAAAACTTCCTTCCAATGCCTGCTTCATCGTTTGGGTACCATAGCCTCGACCCAAGTATTCTGGTTCTCCAATCCAGATATCCAAAGCTCGTGTGTCTTCCAACGGTAGGTCCTCAGTGCTGCTGCCCCAGTAGTGCGACTCTTCTTGCAGCGGGTCAATGATTTGAACGACCCCAATGGGTTTGTAGCTTCCATCTTGTACTGCTGCTACGGCAATGAGCTGCCGTCGCCAAGGCAGATCATTTCGCGACAGTTCGTGTTCCCAGTTCCAGTCATTAAAGTCTTCATCGCCCATTACGTTGGGGTCTTGCAAATATGGCTGCTCGTCCCATTTCTCAATCATTGCAAGATCCTCCAGTGTGGCATTTCGAAGAATGACAATCGGGTGATCATCGGAAACAGCACCAATACCAGTACTGGTCGTTGTAGAGTGGTGACGACAAAAAGGGACAAGTGTCAATTGACTTCTTCTTCTGATGGGATGATGAATCTGAAGAAAAGCTGCCGTTCCAGAGCACGAAGCAGCTACACTCCAAGAACCAAAAGCCAAACGCCACCACCGGGATCTTCTAGTGATCCTGCTGCTCCTGTATCCAGTCAAAAGGTGCTTGCAGTGCCTCATCTTTCTTTCGAGTTGTTTGTGATCGTTGGATCTTTCCATCGCGGATTTGACAATTGAAGGACGACGGTTTGGCTTTAACCCTATAGGTCTACCGTATTGTTACCGCAACCTCCACTCCCAGAATGAGCCAAAAGGTGTATACGGTATCCCGCCTTTCAGGATCTAGCTAGCTGTTGACAGCACAAGGTGACAAACTCATTGTTTCAATGAAGAACCTTTCTATACATACTAGCTAGCCTTTGTTTGTTGTACCTGCACATTAGAAACAACATTCCACCAAACTACAGTTGGCCCGAATCTCCATCAAGCCAATGTGCGCTCTCTCGCACAGCTTTTCGGGTACCGGACCAGATACATTTGTGCCAGTGACATCCAGAAAGGTCAAGCTGGACAGCTCACCCAACTCAGAGGGTATTTGGCCAGTCAAGTCTGCATTGTCATGAACATCAATAGTGTTCAAAGCAGCGAGCTCTCCTAGTCTTGTGGGGATTGTTCCACTGCACAAATTGCCTGATACGACATATTCACGGAGGGGCTTGCAGTTGCCAATGGCCTCTGTCTGTGCACCACAAAACAGATTCTCCTCAATATTGAGGATTACCAACTTGGTTAGAACATAGTAGAGAGGTGCATGGTAACCATGCAGAGCGTTCCCATCCGTCTTGATCACTCGCACCCCAAACGGTTTGAAGCCATTCCCCGAGATAATTTGACCTTCAAAGTTGTTGTTGGATACAATAAAGACCTCCAATACTTCATTATTTCCTGCAGGGCCAGTTGGGACCACTCCATGGATTTCGTTGTCTCCAATATCAAATGTCTTCATTCTGGAAAGGAATCTGTTGACTACTGGCAGTGTCCCTTGGAGATTGTTCGAGTTTAGGTTCAGGATCAGTAGAGTGTTGTTCTCATTGCAGACTGGATATTGGTCATAGTGGAGGATGGTTTCATTGTGAGCCTGAGTAAACCAGTCACATTCATTCACATCGTAGCTGAGCCAGTGATCATTTTGGAACCAGTTGCGGCCATTTGTTATAAAGTAGAAGTATGCCAAGTCGTATCGTTGCAGCTGTCTTTCGGGGGTGTAGCTGTTTAGGTTGGGGTCATTCCACATCCAGGCATTGGCTCTGTATTCAGGTGTAGTTGTGTTCTCAAATGCGTTGAGAGTTGGACGAGACATACCATCTTGAAAGGGTGGATAAATGACCAGAGATGTGTGGTCACTATGAGCGGTTGGAAATTTTGCCTTGGATGCATCACCTTTACTACTTGAGTTGGCAGCGAGAGGCAGGTATAGAGCAAGAAAGATCCCCAAACCAGCTATTGAAATCAATGCCAGGCACAACAGCGGTAGCCTACTTTTGGTCCTGTTATTGCTTGGCATGACTCTTCCTTCGATTACTTCATCAACTGCGGCATGTTCCAATCGATCCTGATTGATTTCCTCGTTGTCGACAACAATGGCCCTGTCAATTACTGCCTCAGTCTCATTGCTGCTGGGAGAGTTATTGTCTGTCTCAGTATTATTATAAGGTTGAGGTTCATCCATAGAGGCGCCGATCCCCGCAACAGAATATGCCCCCGGCAATCCTCTCATGTTTGCATTGGGCAACAACGGCAATGGTTGAACATGGCGTAGTACTGAGTGTTCATCCAAGTCTTGAATCCTGTTGTTACAGGTATGGTCAACTGCATGAAAAGATTCCCTTGAAACTTGCTGCTTGGGTTCCTTCTCCTCTTCTTTTTCCTCATCTTCGAGGCTCTTGGGATATTCGATACTAGTAGTACCGGTAGGACTCTCTCCGGCTGCAGTCGGCATAGCTTTCGACATGGTTGGTTCTGTTTCAACTCGTTTGGGTGTTTTTGGATGTTTTAGAAAATAATGATGATGGCCGTGGACCGTGGACCTTTGGATTGAATGGTACCCAGTACCGTACAGTACCAGTTACCAGCACCGCTAGAATGGAATCAACAGTGAAGAGTGATTTAATTAATTATGCAAATGACTCTTGATCGTACAAGGTACCATGCATGTATTAAATAGAGTGTCGCAGTAGTAGTCTCATTTATTATTTTGTCGGGCAATTGTTGGAAGGCATCGTACCGGTACATGTACACGTATCGTCCGAAAATCCTTTTTATATATTTTTATTTCATACTCAAGTAGACAGCAGACGCTTCCGTTTGACTCGACTCGTCACTCGACTCACTTATGTACAGTTCATCTGCTTTCCTAACCCTAATGAATTGTTTGTAGATTCGATTTGATTGACCATTCGATTGAATCATTCGAATATTTCTGGAGGCTGACCGGGCCCTTCTCGGATCTCGGTATATCGGCGGCGCGAGCGTCCCCGGCCGGCCAGAAGCCATTCGAGCTGGGATATGGGGCCCAGTGAGAGTACAAAAGCAAAACAATGTAAATAACAAATTCGACTCACCAGGAGCTTCATCTAACGAAGCTAAAAAAGTAAACTAACAAATAACGAAAGCAATGAGGTGAGAGGCTCATATGGAATTTGCATACAACCAGTGCAGGGATGGATCAAGCTTGTAGCCCTCCTCAACATCTATATGAGCGGGAAGTCAGTAGCTGCCTTGGTTGTATAGTAGTGCGCGTAAAACAATAAGGTGCTTCTGGTACTGTAGAAAATTGTATGGGCATCTAACTGCTGTTTTGGAAGGCCTCAAAAAGAGTGAATAAAGGATGCTGCTAGAACGTCGCAGCTGCAAGGCTTGGTGCCAAACGATTGAGAGTTAAGCAGATGTATTCCTACTCCAGCTATCTGTAGCTGCTCAAGCGTGGGGTGAACTGTGTATTGCAAATGTCAATTGCAAAACGTTGTTTTTGTTGACTGTTGGCAGTCGTTATTTTACTGTGTACTGGGACTTTAAATAAATTTTTTCTAAATAAAAATCAAAAATGAATTCATTTTAATGTAAAAATATGAGTTTTTGACGTTTTTACCAAATATTTATATAGCTACATTGCACGACAACATTACGCGACTCTATTACAAAATTTATAGATAATTCTAACACCTAAGAACATAGCTCTAACACATCAGATCACAGCTCTGACCCACAAAAACAAAAAATAGTTCTAATCGCGAAAATGTAGCTCTATTGCGCGAAAAAAGTAACTCTAACGCAATGATGTATAATTCTATCACCCAAAAATAAAGTTTGGCAGTAAATTGCATGGAATAATACAGACAAAGTTCCACGTATGACACGAAAATATGCATTTCAAACAACAAAAAGCTAACATAAATTGGAATAGTTCTGTCACGCGTCTCACCAGCACAGAAATCTTACACAGTTCTAATATGCTACAACAACAAATCTAAAACACGTGATAATGTAGTCAAAACACATAAAAGCCAAAATGTAGTAGACTCTTTAACGTACCAGACTAATTCAGAAACTCTGACAGCATGCGAAAATGTAGTTATATTACACTCCTTGACACCAAAGCCAAATTGCACGATGATATATACTTCCAAAGCTAAAACGACGCGAAAGTCTAGCTCTCTACTCGTGTAAACCATAACAAAGATAAAGTATTTCAATGATAATAAAGCTACTAAAACACACGAGATAGTTCTCTCACGTGTGTACTAGAAAGAGACTCACTAGAATACAACAACAAAGCTAAAATACTCATCAGAATGTACTAGTAAAAACTGACATGCGAAAGCGGCACTCTAATACTACACAAGGAAGCTACTCTAAAAACCAAAATGTACTCTGTCATGATATAGACACAACTAAAACGCGAGAAAAAGTATTTTTTCATGCATTAATACACAACATAAGAGAAAGTAGCTCTGCAAAGCGTGTGCGACATTTAGAAAGAGAACTGAAATATTGCATAAAGACAATCTAAAATGCGCAAGAATATGAATTCTAACATGCAAGAAGAATGTAGCTGTAACACACGAAAATGTAAGACATAGCTCTAATGCCGAAAACAAGCAAAAATTCAGCTCTAACACACAAAAGTCTAGCCTAACACGAAAATTGTAATTCTATCATGCGACATTGAAGTTAGTTTGCATTACATAATACAGCAATCTTAAAATATGCAAGAATATAGACTCTTGCTTTGCACAAGTGTGATACGACAACAATGTATTTCACAAGACAATAAAGCAAAAATACGCGCGAGAATATATTTCTCTTACGTGTATGCCAAAAAGAGATCTCGCTGACATAGAAGTTTTACTTAACAACAAAGTTGAAAAATGCGAGTATGTATTTCATAAAAAATAAGAGTCGAGCTGTAACAATCAAGAATCTAACTCAAACATCGAAATCTAACTCAAACACGCGGAGATATCTACTCAAACACGCGAGAATCTAGTTCTTATACATAAGAATGTAGCTACCTGTAGTATGTGATAATGAGCTGCATGATATACGAATACAACTATATAACGCAAAATTTTAAAGATAACTTTGCAATTCCAATAGACATCAAAATTACATTCTATGATAAAGTTACGCTGTGTAGGCTCAATTAGCAACATTACGCAGAAATTTTGCACGAAATTTTACACGACATTACGCATTTTTCACGACATTTTTGCACGAAATTTTGCATGAATTTTGCAGGACCTATTTTGCACGACATTTTACGCGACATTTTACCGACATTTTTCCGCTTTTACCGACATTTTTTACCGACCTATTTTGACGACATTTTTACATCGACATTTTTACGCGACATTCTTACAGCACTTTTTTACGCGACCTTTTTACGCGACATTTTTACACGACATTTTTACACAACTTCTTTTACATGACGTTTAAGAGAATACTCACAATATGTATTTCATTAATTTAATTAGACAACTTTAGCCAGTGGGTATTGGGGTCCCCTTTGGGGTATACCACTTGGCGACATGAATGATTTTAATAGATCATTAAATTGTTTTTGGTTTCTCAATTAAAAATATTTATAAATTGAGCAAAATTAAAGAATGTATCATTTTTTATTTTAAATGTATTTTGAATATTTCTGAATAATATTAGTTTGTGAATATTTGATAGATATATATTCAGAAAATATATTTTAATATTACATAAATTAGTTGTATTGTATAATCTTTTATTTTATATATTTATATATTTGTTACTTTTACTAGTTTAATTAGTTTTATTGCCAATAATTACTGAATCATTGTTAAAAACAGATAACTTGCAGCTGTTTTCTGAAGCCACATTTTAGATTATAGGAATTGCATTTGAGTCTGACATTGTTTTGGATTCGGGCACTGTTAAAATAGACAATGGTTGTAGCAGAGCTAGTAGCAGTGCTGATGATGGCAGCAACGAGGATGGGTCAATCACGAGGCGACCCATGTCCCTTAACTTAATATGTTGACTTTTATTAATATTTCCCTGGCTGGTGGGGTCAAATCTCTCTGCCCCCATATTATCAGTTTAGGGCACCCGGTAGCAGCACAGTAGACAAGTGGTCAGCCAAATTGATTCTATTCAAAAATTGTTTATATGCATACAGTACGTGTTCCCTGTTTTCTTGTGTTCCCGCGCGTCCTTGACCATTAGACTACATCCAGAGGACCCTCTTGAACCACCCCCACGGCACATCTCGATGCCGCAGCAGTAGTAGAGACATGACTGGCAGGCTCAATCATGATTGATTCAGGCAAGGCATGCCCTTTGGCAAAATCGCTATTGGGTTTGGAAGCAGTACTCTGGAACTGTCAAAAGCCGCAACGTTCCTTGGTTGAAACCAGGCAGTCCAGTTGTGTTGCACAGCCTCCGAGGAAAGACAAGGCTCAACGGGAGCAGCGGTACCATCCAAGCGTACGACAGAGCCACCTCGACGTATGTTGTGTTTGTGAAGCTGAGGACAACAATGTTTGACACGAAAGCAAATTTTGAAAAACCTCCGCCCCCCAACAACGCCATTGCGGAACTGACGGCGCAGTGGAATCGTCAGACGCTGCAACAGCTCGATCAGTACAACGCGCAAATGATGAATGATTTCATGGCGCTAATGCACGCCTCTGGAGGAGGCACGAATAGTAGTAGTGGCCTTCATGAGACATCATCCGTGTATGGACACACTACTGGCACGAACGGAACTCAAGAACAATCGTCGAGTTTGTCGGGTCCGCAGCAGGAGAATTCGCCCAGAGTGTCGGTATCGACAGTGCAGCTGAAGCAGGAGAGTTTGCGGGTAGCGCGGTGGCAAGCTTTGTCCAGGGCCTCGGATTTGGTTTGTTTGGTGGCTGAAGAGACTGTTTCTGGATAGTTAGCTGGCTGTAGTACCGTAGTCTGGAATCGCTCTTACATCCGGACTCCTAAACTATAGTACCGGTACGGCAGCCAGCATTCTTTGATTGAATATTTGGGCCCCCGCTAGCTAGCTAGCTAGACTGGACAACACTATATTTCATCACGCACTCCAAAGGGCACAGTTTGAGCCACGAGACCCACACAAAATTGATCAATGATCCAAAGAAATAAACGAATTCCGCTCCTTCTTTGCCTCAGCCTGGACCCTCGCCAGCTTTCATACATGTACGTAGATAGCTTCCCTACCTACCTTATACTCTACGGTAACCCCCCCCTCCCCCCAAACAAAATTGGATCTTTCAAGCAAGGTCCGAGGATCTTTCTAAAATTTACGTTTTTCATTTTTCGCATGACTGGAAAATCGAACCAAATGGAGGCCAATCGAACCAATAGTTATTTATTTATCTCCCTCCAACCTCCTCAACCAACCGTCTTTCTCCCCCCAACAACAGCACACCGATCGTCTGGTTTAACATAGCTATCCAAACCGCCACCATGAGCGCCCCCAGTACTGCTGCTACTGATGACACTACGAAGGACACCTCATCAAGCACTGGAGATGGTGATGTGATGCTGTTACCATCTCCTCGATTAAATGTGTTATCGTTTGCCGTGTCGGTGCCGGCATCGTCGACAATGGATCCAATTTCCTTTGACGATGATTACGACGATACCGTCGGTGCGGCCATGAGTGAATTGGGAATTTCTTCTTCTTCCAAGAAAAAGAAGAAACCGCCCATGACTCAAAATGCGTCGGCCATGGATGGCATTGGCATGGTGGGGACTATTATTTTACTAAAGACGTCCGTGATCGTGTGGTTTGGATGGGGGGCCACCAGTAAGACACCCACGCAAGACTCTACCAACGGCCGAGAAGGCGTCAATCATTCCCGCATTCTAGGAAGTCTCCCCCAAGAACAACACGCCATGGGCCATTTGCTGGTGGCCATGCCACCTCGCAAATTTGGCGGAGCTTCCTCAGAACCACAATCGTCCACGTCCAAACTGATTGGAGGCGAGTATCCCGACGATGAAACGGTAGCCCAACAAATGGCCCGTCGTCTCAGTCAAAAATCCAAAATGCCCGTACTCGTCAGTTGTCAATTGGATCCTACCCATGCTCAATCCATGGGATTTGATCCCGATCTATTGCATGCTCGAGCCGCCGCTTTGGCCGAACAACATATTTGGAGTATACTACAAAAACAAAAACAACAACAGGGGATACCGAAATGAATGGATAATCATGAAACCAATCCACACAGCAATATTCCATAGAAACGGTTGGCACGCAGAAATCTACAGTTCCTGACCTGATGTGGCTCCGTGAGATCAAATTTCGATTGTGGCAGAAGATAATAACAATGCACATCAGGTCGCCGCAACATTTTTTAGTTGAGATCACCATGGCATGCTAGCTACGGTAGCTATAGTGATATATTGATAGATACGATATCTGGTTGGAAGCACTTGTAGCGTCTAGCTAGGTATTACTAGTAGTGTGCTTGTACCCGTAATAACGGGCTCAAGTGATCTCCAATTAATTTATTTCTCGCAAGCAGCCATGTCCCCTTCAAGCTTTCGATCTAACCAAGCAATCTAATCGTTGACTACATACCGGGACATGTACTACTGTAGTACTGGAAGCCACAGCCATGTTGGAAGTCCTTTGTTGCAATGGTGCCCGCTGGCTGGCTAGCTGATACCAATAGCTGAGATCTAGTTTGATAGCGGTAGGCTCTCACCAATCAAAACTACCGTACTGTACTTGACTAGCTAGCTACTTTTAGTTTGCATTCCTGCATTCTACTAAAAAAGTCGCATTATTATTGTTATTCTTTAATGACGCAAACGCCTTCATGTAGCCATCGCCTGTCTACTACATGTATGTAGTATCACTTCCGCACCCATCCCCTGTCACTTCCGCACCTACTAGTACGGTACAGATCCCTCTCTTGTGTTCTCTTCGGTATTCTATTGAATTACTAGTATCGGTGCCTGTCAACAGTGAAGATGGACGTCGAATGTATGGTAACCGTGGTGGCAGCCGAATCTGGCATGTCCGAGACTCTTCCCGTGTCATTGGCAACCACCGTCAAGGAATTGACTGATTTTTCCACCGCCATGCTCGGATTATCCGGCAATGTACAACTCTACAAGGATGGATCCCCTTTGGACCCCAATAAGACATTGCAACAAGCAGGAGTCAAGAATGGAGATTTGTTGGCCGCTCAAAAAGTAGCCGCTGCGGCAGCACCTCCACCACCTGCTCCAGCCACTGTCGGTGGATTGGATTTTTCCGCCATGTTGGCCAATGCCACTTCGGCAGCAGCACCCGTGGCGGCGGCTCCTGCCAGTGGAGGACTGGATTTTACCAATCTCATTATTGGTCAACAACTCAACAACAAAACCAATAACGCCGAGCCCGTCTATTATCCCGGCATGACACTCAATGATGCCCTCGACCACAACACCAATCCCGAACATATTGTCACTCTCCTACAAACCCGAGAACACTTGTTCAAAGAACTCAATTATCATCAACCTGTCTTGGCCAACAAACTACGAAATCAACCCTATCAAAAAGCTGTACAAATTTGGCGGGAAGAAATTCTAAAAGGAGGCATTCAATCTGCCATGTCACACAACAATACGCAACTCAAGGAACAGGAGTATCGACAGCGCTTGGAAAAGAATCCCAATGACAAAGAAGTAAGTTTTCAATCAAAACCGACAGGAAAATGAGAGGCTGACAAATAGTACTGCAGTATTTCTTATTGGCATTCTCTTTTATTAATTATTGCTCTTTTTCTTTTCCATCAGGCCAAGGAATACTTTGATTCTCAAAAGAGAGAGCAACAGGTTCGAGAACAATACTTCCAAATGATGCAGGAGTATCCAGAATCATTAGGTAAGACATTCTGTTATATCGCTCAATTTGCCAACTTTTTGAATTGTGCACATGTATTGACTACAAACTTCCACTTTCGTAATACTGCAGGCCGAGTGCTCATGCTCTACATTGAGGCCAAAATGAATGGCCATTCGGTGCAAGCCTTTGTCGATAGCGGTGCACAAAATACCATTATGAGCAAAAAGACTGCCACCATGTGTGGAATCATGGATCTCTTGGATACACGGTTCCGGGGAGTCGCCGTTGGTGTGGGGACGGGAACCATCTTGGGACGGGTTCACATTGTGCAACTACAAGTGGGAGACTATTTCTTTCCCTGTACCATTACCATTATGGACGATCCACCACCAGGTAGTGAAGCCAAAGATATGCCATTTCTGTTGGGATTGGACATGCTCAAACGACACACCTGTTCTATTGACTTGGAGAACCAAGTTTTGAAGTTTCGACTGGCACCTGGAAAGTATCTAGAGACGCCCTTTCTACATGAAAAGGATCTTGATGAGAGTCAAGGTGGGACGAAAGGATTTGATGCCGAGAAGTCAAACCTAGAATTGGCCGAGTTGCAGCGTAAACATGAGGAGGAAGAAGACAAAAAGGATGGTGATAGCAAGATGGAGTGAATGAATCAATCAGCTTTGACAAAGACCTCAGAATAAGATCTGGTGTGTTCCCCAAAGCGAGGTGATCATGTCGACTAGAACAAGCAAAAAGCGGTGCTCGATTCTTGTAGGCTGTGGGCCCGTTGAAGGCGCTGGCAGCCAGCTGTGCCGTGGTCGAAGTGATGATGCGTCAGTCGCCCTTTAGGGACTACCTAGGCCAGAAACCGCTCTACCGTTGTCGTACTAGTAGTAGTCTATTCAACCCTAATCGTCCTAGCTAAAACACATTAGGCTAGAGTAGGGGGCTCTTCTACGTAAAGCCAGTGAAGCCCCGGTTTATTAGGCCAAGAAGAGTCGAAATGCAAGACGAACTAGCTAGAATCAGGGGAGATAGCTATGTTGAGGACCAACACGGGCGCCATCAACCAAAATGACGAGACACAAATCCCAAGTCAGTCTGCTTGCCACAATGCAAACTCAGACCGTACTTGGAGACTGGACACTGGGTGAGCCAGCATTGGGAGAGCCTGCTCCTGCCAAGGTTGGAGCTGTGGGACCCTCCTGTTGGGCTACTGGGGCGTTCGGTCCGGGTGTAGCGGAACTTGGAGACTGGACACTGGGTGAGCCAGCATTGGGAGATTACGTAGTCATCAGCCATCCAGCTGAAAGCTTGGGTTCAGTGTCAAAGACGCCATTCTGGGAATGCCACATGGCAGTTCCAAAACTCTCTGGTGTTTAGACCTTCTTAATTGTGGGGGGCAGGGTATTTCGAAACTATGATACTTGACTAGCTAGCTATGCCATATAGTCAGTCAGTGCACCAGTAGCCTGGTCGCATTATTATTGTTAACCTCGGCAGGTAAACTGCCTGAGTTCTCAACCCCTTTAATGCTATTTCCTATTTCCTATTTCCTATTTCCTATTTTCTATTTCCTATTTCCTATTTCCTATTCCGGTGAAGCCAAAGTATAAGGATAGAGATAGTCCTAAGCCAACAAAACTGAACATTGATGGTTCAATACAAGTTAGGGGTAGGAATAAATCATTAATATTTAAGGTTAGTGCAATCAGCACAACAGCACAATAAGCCAGCAGGAGCTGTAAAGGTTAGAGTTACAATAAGGGAATGGCAGCTGGTAAATTATAGAGTAGCGGGCGCAACACACGACGTAGTCGGGTGTTGTCGCCAGGGCTAGCTTAATAAAAAGAAGGTTGCAATGAGGGAATGAATGATACCGGGCGGCAACACACGACGTAGTCGGGTGTTGTCGCCAGGGCTAGCTTGAAAGATGGGTGCAATCTCGAATATGATCCTCCTTCTTCTATCTGTCTTTCTGCCGAGGTATCGCAGCTCCCGCTGACTTATTATTCAATCAACGACGCGAGGCCAGGACGCGAACGATTTGTTTGCATCTGCGAACACCTTTGCCTTATCCTTCCTTCCTGCAAGTTCAATAAACCGTACCGGCACAAATCAGGCAATCAGCAACACTTGAATACCTCAACGATTTGATTCATCCCGTAATGTCCACAACTACCGCGCCCGCTGAGGTCCCTCTCGCACAGGCTTTTGCCTTGTTGGCAGATGAAGACTATCATGATGTATCTCTAATGGGGACCGATGGAGTCTTGGTTGGAGCCAATCGAGTAGCCTTGTCAGTCAGGAGTGACTACTTCAAAACCATGTTCAAAAAGGGTCAATTCAAGGAATCTATGAATGATGTGGTGTCCATTGGATTCACAAGTGATGTGCTCAAGGCCATTGTGGAGTACATCCATACAGACAGTGCCACTATTACTTTGGCCAATCAGTCAGGAGGACGAGCCGTGGGAAGCTCTTCTGATATTTCGATGGACGGCATGAACAAAATTGAGAACTTGGTGTCATTAACAGAAGCCGCAATGTATGTTGGTTTGCCAGGCCTCTGTAGGAAGGCACAGAAGTGTCTGGCAGTCTTCATGAAGGAAAAGCCTTCGTTTGCGTTCGCTGTACTGGCAGCATCCAAACAAGAAGGACCAATTATTCTGCGACAATACCATTGTGCATTGATTAATCTAACGATCTAAGAGATGTAAAGTTTGTATTTCCAAATAAGTGAGCAGTTATTGATTATTTTCTAAGAATAAGCCTGCTAATTGTAAAGCTGTAAAGCTGAATTGTAAGCTGTATCCCGTCGCACTCCCTACAGCTGAAATGAAGCTGGAGCAAGAAACGATAGGAGAGAGTCCCCAGCAAAGTGCTGAGGAATTACCATCCATGAGGAGCTTCCGAATGACAGCAAACTGTGGAGCCGGAGACCTTAGTGAAAATGTGGCCCGTTGTTCAGGTCGGAATATATCTTAGCCACGATGCCCTTCGACTCCCGATATTGGACCTGAAAAGTGGTACTCAATGCCAAATACTTGTTGCGCGCAGACATTTTTGGGAACATTCACAAGAGACAGCAACCTTGGTTTCTCGAACACTGTAGAGCGCACGAGACTGACAGTAATTACGGCATATTCAGTTTGTCTACCATTTCTTTGAGCAAAGCTCGATAGAAGCAGCTCCCTCATTGCAATGCTGAAGGCAACATACTCAGCAACAGTGGAGCTCAAAGTAATTCATCTGTAGCTTGCTGGACCAGATAATAGGGCACCCAAAGAGAGTCAGGACAAAATCCAGTGCGAGACTTGAGGAAACAGGACCTGTCATCCTCATATCCATACAAACCGCGAAGTCAGCATCAGACCAAACAGTCAAGTCCTGATCAAGTTTAGGGCTAAAAAAATGCCTTTGTCATTGTCAATCAGATACGAATATACGTTTAATTG